TGAGGAATGTGAGCAGGTTGCGAAAGATGACGGGATGTACGTGCAAGATGTGCTCTGCCTGCTTGCTCAATGTTGATAACGTAAATACGCGCGCAAATGCTGACCTTGTACTCCATAGGCTAGGAAGTACACGTACTCTTAGATAGGCTGGAAATGTATGTGGTGTTACAAAATCATTGGCTATGTGCCGCGCGGCTTTTGCTGTAACGGTAGGTAGTGGTCTATATAAGATCTCCCCTAAAGAGGCTCAGGGTCGTGTTTTCCTAACTGGTCCTGCGTGTCCGTGTGGGAGCTCGACCCTGGCTAGCCAGCCCAATAAACTCTGCTTTGTTGATTGCATTCACGTGTGGCTCTCTGTCTCTCGGGGGTCCTAACAATGTTAGTTAGAAACCATGAAAGAACTTGATTCTAAATGATCTTGGAATATGATACATTTTGGGAGGTCATTATTGACTTATTGTTCCCCCAGAGTAGTTCATGAGCCATTTAACCCTGTTTAAGTATTCATACGACATTTGTGAAGAATTGTAAAACATCAGTCATGTTTTTAGTCTTTCGAATTTATTTTTTCAATAGGATTGTATAAAAGAATGAACGCTTAAGGGTCATATTAGGATAAATATTAATTTATTCTCTCTAATCTTATAGGACTGCATTTTACTAAACATGAGTTATACATTTAAGAGGGAAAACACAGAAAACACCTCAAGCAAGACACCACCAACTGAAAGCTTAACTTTGTCAGTATTTACAAATATTTCCTGTAACAATTAAAATTATAAGTTCTAAATCTTTAGTATTTTAAAGTTTATTAGGAAAGGACTAGATAAGTGTTGAGAAATGAAGAAAAAAGAAAAACATTTTCTGCTCCTCAAACAGGAAATGGGAGTAAGGACTTCTAATTCCTTAGTATGATGGTATTATCTTTGTGGATGTGAATTGCTTTATTGATACTGAATTATCATTCTCATACTTTCAAATAATTTGTCAATTTTTGATTTAGAAAGCACCTTTGTAAAGTATCTTTGTTTTAAAGAAAATACCATTTAAATGCAAATGTGATATTGTTTAAATAAAATCATGGATGAAGTACAAGTGCAACTAATTTTATATCATAAAATTGATTTAAAACTGTGCCAAAACTAATGCCAGTATTGTTCAAAATGTCTTGATATATTGTGTGGCTTCTGAAATGTACATTTCATCACCAAGCCCTCTTACATGTTGAAATATTTTTCTATGCATTAAGGACTAAAAACTTTATGTTCTCATTTTTATTCAATTTTGAAAAAGGAACAGTCGACAAAAGGACAGTAAGAAACTCAGTAAAGTTCAGTTTCATAGAATTTTTGTCTAGGTGTTAGCTCATTTCTTTTATTACCTATTTATATCTTACATCTTATTCTATAAAGAATATGAAGCTTTAAAGAAATATACCAAACAATGAGATAACATTGAGTAGATGAGGAATCTGGAATGATAGGAAGTGATGACAGGAAATTAATAATATGCAGTTATGGTCTAGATTAATGCATATCACAAAAGTCTATACCTTTGTTAAAGGGTCTGAGCTTCCCACTTTTCAAAGTAAAGAGGGACTCATGAGCAGTTTCAAGATTCACATGCTTAAAGGAAAAGCCAAACCATACGTTCAGGAGAACTCCAGCCTTTCCCATGACTGAGAACCCATAGAAATCTGTCTCGTAGGTTTCATAATAGCTACCATGGCGTAGAACACTACTTTCGAGTATTCTTATGGTGACAGATTCTCTTCTGTGCAAGCAGATGCAGGCAAAGCACTCAAACAATTTTAAAAACAGCAAAAATGCTGAATATGTAACTGATGGTTTAATTTGATCTAAGAATAAACTGTCTTAAGTTTTGGAATTCTGATGAAGCTATATTGGGGGTTTATATGTAAATACACGAATTTTAGGATAGTACATGAACACCAGATTTGGAATCTTCAGGTTAAAGAATGACTGGAGCTGAGTACCAGTGGCTCCTGTCTGTAATCTTAACTACTCAGAAGGCAGAGATTAGGATTGTTGTTTGAAGCCAGCCTGGGCAAATAGTTTGCAAGAGCCTATCTCAAAAATACTCAGTACTAAAAAGGGATGGTGGAATGGCTCAAGTGGTAGAGTGCCTGTCTGGCAAGTGTGAGGCCCTGAATTCAAGCCCCAGTATGTTTTTACAAATATTATTTTATGTAACCATGTTCTGCATAATAACAGAGGAGTAAATAATATGAAATTGTAGGTCAAACAAATTTTGAGGTTGAAAATACTTTTTTCTTGCCTATTAAAGGAGGATCCCTAAGTTCAAGAAATCAACTGGTTGCAGGTTAGGACTTAGATTATAAAAAGGACCAGATAGATGCCTAGGAAGATGGTCATTTTTCCGCAGGTGGACTGAAAAGATACTGAGTGGCACAGTGTCATGGCTTTCCTTAGCAAACAATTTTGTGTCTTTTATAACTTGTGTGCAAATGATTAAAGTTCAGTGTCATAAAAGACTATTCAATTTTTGCCTAAAATCTGTCCAACCAATTGTCAATCCCTCATAGTTGTCACAACAATTTTTTGCAGTGATAAACATTTTAGCTTTAATCAACAAAATTAATTTAGCCTTCCAAACTAAGTTGATTACAATTGCTTTCTTTGTTTCCTAATTTAATTTACAAGCTGCTACGTCAGATTTAAAATAATGGGCACTGATTTTAGAAGAGTTCAGCACAAGCCTTTTTGAGGTGATTAGATATGTTAAAATTCCTCCCAGTTTCGGGTACAACTCTAGTCATCTGTATACAGTAAACTTATTTTTTCTGTTCTCCATTCATTTCATTCACCAAATAACCATTGAGCTTGAGGAACACTGGTGAACAATCGAGATATACCCTCAACACTCAAGAATTGTCACTGCAGTGTGACAAAGGTAGGAGCACATTGAAACAGTATAACTCACGGAAAAGCAGTTTTATGATATAAAAAAAAGTGGCCAAAACGATGGAGAGGGGACACTATTTCTCTTTGCTCTATTAAAAGTCACCTCACTAAATGAGTTGAGAGATCTTAATAAAAATAAACAAATGAGGACAAGAAGAAAAATCCCATCAATTCTTATAGTTGTGCTGTATAGTAAAGACCCATCGGTTTCATGACTGTGACTATGCTGAGTTCATTTAGCTTAACTCATTTTCTAGACAGCTTAGGCTAAGAAGGAAAAACAAGGTGGCAAAACATCTAATACTGCTCCTAAAATACTAACTCATGAGGGGATACATCATTAACTACACTTCAAATTTTATTTAGGTTTCACTAGTTTCTCCCTAATGTTCTTCCCTCCCTCCCAGGAGTCCATCCAGGATGCCACACTACATTGAATTGTCATACCTTAGGCTTCTTTGGGTTGTTAAAGTTTCTTAAACTCTCCTTATGATGATTTGTACTTTTTTTGTTATTTTGTTTTGTTTTTGTTTTTTTGAGACAGCATCTCACTGTAGCACAGGCTTGGCTTGGAACTTGGGATTTTCCTACCTCAACCTTCCAAGTGCTGGTATTACAGGTGTATGTCACCACACCCAGTTCATTACTAAGGTGTTTGGAGCCACTGGACAGTTGGGCCATGTGAGAGGCCATCAGCCAAAAGTGAACTGGTAACTCACTCTTATCAGAACAGTAACAACAAATGAAACTTCTTCTCTCATTGAAGATACTACTCACAGAAAGGATTATGGAAAATTGCTAAAGGAATATGAGGTAGAAGAGGAGGACAAAGAGGAAAAGAGGAGAAAAGAGAAGGGTAGGCCCAGTGGGGTGAAGGAACCCGCTATTAACTGTTATAATAAAACCTCCCAACTCTGTATTCAATAGCATGTTGGTAGCTTGAAATAGGTCATAGTGAGGGTATTTGCCATGCAAATTGGCAAACAGGATAAATTGGGGCTTTTTATTTGGTGAGCCAGTTGTTATACATTTACTATTGTTCTGCTGATCCTAAGAAAAAAATTTTTTTCTTTCTCATCCCTGGATATGAACTCAATTTTGTGGCTTCCTGGATGGAGGAAGGGTTTGATGGAGATGAAAACAGGAGATGGAAACCTCATAATGGCACTGAGACATGGATGCTTTGTCTTATACATCCAGCACATGACACCTACCTTCTATTCTTTGACAAGATACCTCTGCTACCAAAGGAAGGAAAAACACTTCCCCTCACTCATCTTATCCTTCCCCATTAGAAAAGTAACATTAGACTTTGCTTTGCATATTTACATATTAAGAGTAAAACCACATGTATTTGTATTTTTATTTTTGTTATGTAGCTCATGACTACATTTACCTTTTACAGCAGATATAACTTATCATTTTACTTTGACTGACACTTGTTGCTGTCCATTGTTCATGTATACTTCTGACACCAGTCCCTTGATTTGCTATTCCATGCATATGTTTTGGATGGTATTGGCCCGGTTCTGGATCCAGGAGCAGACAGTACTCAAGATTTGGCCAAAGTCATGGTGAAGCACTAAGGAGTAGGCCTGTGGCAGTCAAGGGTCCCAGGATGCAGAGACAGTAGCCAAAACTCTAGAGAAATGCTCATTCACTCTTCTCCACAGGTATGAACCTGAGAGAGTATAAGCCAGGCACTTTTGGAAGGAAAAGATCCTACTAACATAGTTTTAGTCTCTTGAGCCAACAAAGTCTATAGTCTTAATTACTCCTAGATGTGATGGATATAGGGCCTATAAATTTTCTTTGGCTAAACTATCTGTAGTAGTTCACAGGCAGTGAGAAGGGTGTCACTGATATACTATGTTTTACAATTTCAGTTGAATCAACAGTCTTCACAGAAATTGATGACAGCTTTTCTGGTATTATATGTTGAGATTTTCAGTAAAAATAAACTCAATGTCCTTAATTATGTTTTTATAGGATTTTTCTGAAATATTTGTTCTAAAATATTTTCTTTACATTTGTATACAAAGATATATTTATCTAAAAAATTATAAGCAGAATTTATTTCAAAAAGTCTATAGAGTATATCAGGAAGGAATACTCTTTTTTGTCTCATCCACAGTTTTGACCGTTTTCACCCTCTGCAAGGCTCCTCCTCGAATAGGCAACTTTTTAAGAGCAATATCTGTATCAGCCAGAGGTCCTCCCAGTAATCGGACAGGAGTACTTTCCACTGTTACTACCCGACCAGAGGGCACCTACAAAAATAAAAGGTAAATACCTAACAGTCTATAAAATTTTTCAGTGAGAGAAAAACCCATTCATACTACAGTTTACTTTGAAAATATGCAAAGTATAAGTAAAAATAAGTAGGAGGCTGCATGACATAAGGGAAAGATAAGGGCTTTGGAGCCAGGAAAAGTGGGTTTGCATTCTATATCTATTGCTTATCAGCTTCTTAACATGGATAACTTATGTCCAGTAGGGGTCACCAGTATCACAGGCATACAGTATGGATCTACTTGCCAGGCAAAGGAGGCACTGCCTACTTCCTGTCAAGATGATGTAAAGAAATATACTGACTAGTGTTGATAGCAATTTCTTAAGAAACCTGGAGGGATGGGTCTGCTCTAATCCAATATTGGGTGAAGGGAGATGCATCTTGGAGATAAATAAGGCCTTAATGATGGGAAATCTCAACAGCAAGAAGAAAAAAAAATGAGATAAAGATCCCATAGAAATAACATTTTGAAGTCCTAAATTTAATATCTATTAAGAAAAAGATGCAGAGAAAAATAATCTTACCGTTGTGTTAAGGCCTCTAATTACAGTTCGGTGATAAATTGCATTTTGTGGTTGCTCATTATATTTAGAAGATTCTATAGCCTTTTCCTGAAGCCTTTTTGCTTTCTGAAGATTTTTAAATTAGAAAGAAACGTTAATTGGTATTAATGTATTAATATGGTACTTATAATGAAGATACAAAGTATATTTAATTGTGTTTGGCTTATTGTTTGACTATTTATTGGGCTGCCCTGGAATCTGCATTTACTCATTTAAGCTAAAAAGACAGTTATTAAGGTTAGTTGGATTTTTTGTGTATTAAGACACCAGGCATCTAAAAATGTTCTGGTGATTTTCAGGGGCAATGGTCATATATGACATCAAGGAGAAAGTAGGTCCTGAGAAAATCAGATTTAGTTTTTAGCACATAATTTAATAAGCTACTAAATCTATACCAGGCTATGAATATTTCAAAATATGATGCACAAATTAAATACCATTCATTACACTTAAATGTTTTAAAATTCAGAATAATATATAATTTGTTGCAGTTATATTCAAGGTCACTATTTGAGGCACTAAACAGGTAAGTGTGAGTTAACAAATGATCTACAGGAAAGGGGCTTCTTTTCATGAACTATTCCTTAAAATACAGGCAGTTGGGAAGAACTTTTAGTGAAAAATTTGGTATCATACTTTAAGTGAACTTGTTTTTAACTTAGGTTTTGCTATCTTAATATGGTTCCTTTATTTTCAAGGACCAACTTAATATTTACCAATTTCATATCTAGAGGAAGAATTAAACATTGGATGAAGATTATTCATGATATTAATGAAAAGGTGGAGAAAAGTAATGCAATTTTGTAAATCGTTGGTGTTTTTCACACATTTCAAGTGAACAATTATCATTATAAACTCTTCAAACCAGTTTCTAGCTTTTAGCTGAAGGAATATATTACATTTTTTCCCAGAGGGATATTTATCTCAACTACCCATTTAAACTTTAATTTCTTTCAGTAATTATAGAGGGTGAAAGTTCTTGGGGAAGAGGTAATACAGGATAGTTGCTTTTCCTGCTCTTCACTCTGCCTCTTACAGAAATCACTGAATCAGAAGGCTCAGAATATAAAGTAGAGCACATTTTTTCTTGCTCATTCCTGGCTATTACCTCTCTTTAAGCCAGCCAGGAGCACCACCCTTGCTTCCCCCAATTACACCAAAAGAAATGCAAAGTAGCATCTCCTGTGACTGTGAAAATACAGTTTCAATAATCAACTTAAATTGAATATGCAGCTCTAACAGTGTGGGTATTCCACAGAAAGGCCACCAGAATTGAATTGAATACTGAATATTCATTCTTGAAAAAAAAAAATCTGTCCTTAAGAACTGGTTATTTATTGTATATCTTGTAATATTAAAAACCTTACCTTTAATATTTTAGCATTTGATGTTCTAGCTAAGAAATTTTCCCATGATTTATTAGCCAGTTCTCTTTGCTTGTGTGTGCCTTGTATCTGAAATGAGAAAGAAAATTGAGGGTTTCAGTTTCTGCGAAAGAATACTGAAGGCTTGGAAGCTCCTATTTTGAAGGGAGCACCTACACTTTCCTAAGGTAGACTTAAGGCTAATAAAAGATTCATAGAACTTAATTTAAAAAACAAGTCTTAAAATGAAAAAAAAATCATTTACTTATTTTGTGGCTAAGATTTGAAGTTTTCTGTGAAATGTAAGGCGAAACTGCTATTTTAATAACACTCATCCTCAGCAAGAGTGTTTTACACAATTATCATTTATGAAGGCATCATTACCCAGAACAAGAAAATATGTGATCTACCAGAAGACTTATGAGATAAAATAAATAGATTTCTGCTTGCCACTGATAATTAGTGTAGACAAAATTATACTGGTACAACTACTTCTAATTTTATGACCGCAACAAGATAAGCGGTTTGTGAGGGTGCTGAGCCTGCTGTGCTGACGCAGTGTAGCGAGGAGACTGCGGCATGCTGCGGAGCACATGGTTCTCATCAGGATGGCCATCAAACGTATTGTAAGAGGGCGCAGTTCTTGGTTGACGTATATTATGCCATTAAACTTAAATTATGAAACTAAGAATATTTAATTAAGTCACTGCTAAAAGGTGGGGTCTGAGTTACGGTAAGAAGTCAACAACAATCAATAAATCAACAATCTTTAGTCAATACAGCAAACATTGTGCCATTCAAAAGAATGAATGCATTGAGGAAGTGTAAGTTCCCATTTCTGCTGCCCTACTTCAGAGTAAATAAATGGGTTAAATGGCAGCATCCCAAGCAAAACTGTAAAGCAATTTAGCGTATAACATGGAGTAGAATGTGTAGGTGGATACACACAGAGCTTCTTCTAGGCTGTAGCTATAAACATTTAAAAGTCTATGTGAAAAGAGAAGGCAATAGAAAAAACTTTGAAAAATCACCTTAACGAGTTTAGAACACATAATTGTAGTCATAAAGGATCATGAGGCAGAAATGGAGAAGGTATATCATAGTAAGTTCATTTAAATGGTCCCTTATATTCTCAAAAATAAATAACACATTTAGTTTTCTGGTTGTAGTTTTAGGTAAATGGCTGTTTTCCACACAGTTTTTTTCTTTTCTTTTTCTGATTAGCTAAAGTCAGAATCCATTTTCCCTCTGGAATGAATGCTCACAGTATTTTGGAACTGAGACGAGGACCAAGCTGATTGGTGGATAAGCCTGTTATTGGTCAACTAGTAAGGGCCTATTTCAGAATGAGAGGTGGGGACTACTTTCTCTTTCTATGAAGTCATCCATGTAGTTACAGGTAAACTGCCAGAATTTGTTAGCTTTATATAATTAAGTAGGCTATAATTTTGGAATAGTGTTGGGCATTTCAAAAAATGGAAGTGTCTCAGGCATCTCTTTATCTTTAAAACATAAGACTGTAGAAATCACATTATAATACCACAAAACAACATTGAAATCTTAAGTCCATGGTTTCTTTTAAAACTACACAAAGAAGCAGAATATAACTATTAGAGTAAACAAAAGAAATCAAGGTTAAAACATTCACAAGTAAGACAAATATATCCCATGGATAATCCCATTGTAGCTTGTGCACAGAAGTCGGTGTCTTCAGGTTACTCCAGAGGCACCGGCACACCCATGTTTATTGCAGCACTATTCACAATAGCCAAGTTATGGAAACAGCCAAGATGCCCCACTACTGATGAATGGATTAAGAAAATGTGGTACTTGTACACAGTGGAGTTTTACTCAGCCATGAAGAATGAAACCTTATCATTCACAGGTAAATGGATAGAACTGGAGAACAACATTCTGAGAGAGGTTAGCCAGGCTCAGAAGACCAAAAATTGTATGTTCTCCCTCATATGCGGACTTTAGATCTAGGGCAAATACAGCGATGTTGTTAGACTTGGGTCACATGCTAGGGGAGAGCACAAATGGGAGGTATGGGGTTAGGTAGGAAACCCAAAACATGAAAGTGTTTGATGTCCCCACTGCAGAGGAGTTAATACAGAAACCTTAAAGTGACAGGGGTCAATATGGGAAGGTGATCAGGTAGAGATGAATCAATTTGGGTTGTAATACACTTGTGCATGGAAGCAATGCTAGGAACCTCTCTGTATAGCTATTCTTAACTAGCAAAAATGCTTTGTCTTTCTTATTATTGTCTTCTCTTCAACAAAATTGGAGAAAAGGGCAGAACAGTTTCTGTCTGGAAGTGTGGGGGGGTGGGGGGAAGAGGGAGAGGGTGAGGGGCAGGGGGAAGAAATGGCCCAAACAATGTATGCACATATGAATATATGAATAATAAAAAAAAAGAAGTCGGTATTTTGTGCCTCACTTGCTTCATGGTATCTGTGGCTTACTTTTGTGTATACTCTTTGTTCATTTTGCATATCTTGGCGTGTTTGGCTTTCAATCATCTCACTTTGCAGAGATGCAACCATCTTTCCAATGGTTTCTGATGCTGTTGTAATAGATTCCAAAATTTTTTTATCTGAAGAGACTGGTCTTAACTTTTCCAATTTTATTTCCTCATATATTTCATTCCATATTTCTCCAATCTGTTTAACACAGTTTAACACGGTTAAATTAATAAATTAATATTAAAAATAAATGATGCAATTTTAGGAAATCCTTTATGTGGGTGGTCACTCCTGTTAACCATTAAACTTCTCCTTATTTACTTCTTGAGTGTAAATTAATGCATTGGAATGATTTAGGGCACTAGTTGCTTTTGAGTTTTCCAAAGTAATTTATCAATTTTTTTCAATGATTAAAAGTATTCCTGGATGAAGCTCCGTCACATAACTCTAATTCTCTGTCATAAATATTACCTCTGGTTTACAGTTACTTTGTTTTCATAGATGCAGAAATTATTAATCATTCTCAACTTTCTGAATTACTGCTGATTTTCCTTCCTAAAGCATTGTACGAAGGCTAGGTCAACCTGAACTTGTAGGAGAACAAACATGGGGTCTCCTGGAACCCTAGAACATAGTCACTCTACAAACAGAGCACTGGTCCTCACCTAGCTAAGACAAGTTAGAATCCAATCTCAAGTTTTTAATTCCGTGATTCCATCATGCCAAAACTCCACTTCATATTCTAAAATTCATGTGCTTGAGTATATTTAAAATTAGAGAAATATTTATGTATCTAAGATAGGAATAAAATTTGCTTTTCATTTGAGAAGAGGGATTTATTCATTTACAACATTCAGATACATAGTACTAATGTAAGAAGGAGACTGTTTACTTATGAAGATTTTTCTGAAACTTCAAAAGCACTTATTTGCTGATGAAAATATAACCAATGAACTAAGCAACCTTATCTGTTTTCATTGAGATTTTATGTAATGATGATTAAAAATATAAAGTAATGATAAAAGAATGTTAAATATTAATAATTTTAATTAAAAAAACTCATTTAATTCTAGCTCTCTTTCCAAAGAGAATAAATTATATTTAAAAAATTCTGTTAGCTCTAAACAGCTTTATGTCAATAATATCCATCTTTCTTTACAAGTTAATGGTTGGATGAAATCTTATTTCATGAAGAATACCCAGTCAATGAATGCTTTGTTTCTTTAACAGTATCATAATGGGAAATAAAAACTATACAGCATATGGACAGTTGGCACAGCTATGAATAGATCTCTTATTTCCCAATTTGTTTTTTGCTATAGTAGATTTTAGTTATTAAAATAGTACTTACTTTAAAATCGAGATACCTATGTATGATACAGAGGGTGATGAAATCTTCAGCAGATAGACCAGGTAAATTTTCAAAATCTAAACAAAGTTTATGAAGAGAAAATTACTTTGACAAAGCCAGTGATTCCAAGAAGCAATGTATCATAAAAAAATGCTAGCATTGACTTTTGATATTATCTTGATTTTTGAAAAAGTTGCTCCTGTGAGAGTCAGTTTTTCCTGTAACAACAACAACAACAACAAAAAACCTCTTCCAGGTCGTGCTTATCTAGTCATTAGAAGAAAAGTCATCCTTTCTGTGTGTGGTCAAAATACCTCACTTTCAGAAGCACAAGTGTTTGAGGGTATTTTTCTTAATAGGGAAGCAAAGACTTTAAATAAAGACCTCAGCTGATTCAGAATGCTAATATTTAAGCCTAAACAACTAAACTGACTGCCTTAGTCCTGGCTGCACACTGGAATTATCTGGGAAACTTCAAAAAGTTCTGCTGGACCCAACCTCCAGAGACTGTGGTCAGCAATGCAGCCTGGATTTTGGGGTGACAACTGAACATGCACATATCCATGTAAAGGGACATTTATTCATGTTTGAAAAATGAACTCCAAAGCAAAATGGATGTGTGGTGACACTCAGCAGAACAGCTCTTGTGAGTCTGAGGAACAGCTTCTTACCTAGTTTGCCCAAAACAGCATAAATTTTTGCTCTGATATTCTCAGCAACATCCATAACTGCAATAGATGGGCAGTTAGCAGGCAGTGGCATGATTTTTTGCTCTTCTTGAAAACTAGTAAACAAAGGTTTCTTTGTATCTAATCATTGGATATCATGAAAATATAGAAGGCACAGATAAAAACCATAGTAAATATTAATTCTAAATATAGACTATATTAAAACATAAAATATACTAAAACCTTACAACAGTAAAATAGTGCCTTATACATGGTTACTTTTTTTTTTTTTTTGGCAGTGCTGGGGATTGAACCCAGGCCCTGCACAAACTAGGCAAGCCTTCTCCCACTGAGCTACATTTCCAGCCACCTATCTGCTTTTTTGAAAGCATAATCAGTACCCTCCCTACACAATTAGTAGCAAAAAGCAAAGCTTTCATTTTTATTATTTATGTAAACTATGAAAAATTTACAAAATTACTCATTAAAAGTGAAATTTTAAGTAACTTTTAAAATTTTGAGATCCAGAAAATGAATAATGTCAAATTAACAATGATGTAATCTCTTTGAGTTTGGTTTCAATATATTTAGCTACAAATATAAAAACTATTTTATGATGACATAAATCAAAACTCAAATAGTAAAAATGGACTAAAAATAGAAGTCATTAGAACTGGAAGTATTTTCATTTAAAATAAACATTAATAACAGTTTTGATAAAACCATAAGAATCTTGAAGGGTTTAGAAGATGTAACATAGCATTATAGAATATATAAGTTAATAAAATTCTGATACTGCAAACCTCATTAGGGTATGGTAACTAAAATTATGAACACTTGATTTATATTTATTAGAAAATAATTTATTTTTCATGCAAAAAGTAAATTGTATAAACACTAATGTACAAATTACTGTAAAAATTTTTTCCAAGCACTTCATTTACATCCTAAAATTTATGGGTCAGATGTTACTGAATATATTTGTAAAGGAAATGGATAATTTCCTTAGGAAGTATTATTAATTTTTGAGTTAAAAATATGGTCAAATGCCAGTTTTCAAAATATTCTACAAAAATAAGAAAATGCTACTAATTTACTTATTTTCTTCCAATATTCACAATTTATGTTAGCAAGTTCTTCAAGCCCTGGTGAAAATAACTCTTTAGAAAACAGCGTGAAAGGCATCATATTTTCCTAATACCCTGTTTTAAAGATCTCTTAAAAATCCATGCAATTGCTTCTTCCAACAATTGTAAAAACACTTACCAACGATCTTCCCATTTTTATCACGTTTTACTCCTAGTTCTTTTTCTTCTGTTCTCCACAATTTAATTAAAAGGCTAGCAGCTGTCTGACCCTTTTTCCCTCGCCAAGCATTGACATGAGCCGCAGTTTTGGGATTATCACAAAATTCAACCATTATTCCAAGTATTAGATTACAGAATTTTTTTTGGTTTAACTTCAGCAAGAAAACGGAAATAGAAAAAAATTTGCAATAAATATTAAGAATAATTGTCTTTCTAAAAAGAGAGAAAAATATCTGCTTTATCAGTAAGTTCCTTCTAACTCAGAGTCTTCAAAATACTCAATATAATGAGCATCCTCAAATATTAGAAATTAAAAAGGAGAAAAAGGAAAACATTTAATATAATTTTTAAGTAGTCATAAATACACATTGTGGCCAAATTGTAATTAATTTGATTTAATTGGAAAATGGGGATTTGCAAAAATAAAGTGAAGATATTCACTTTAAATAGAGCAAGATCAGCAATGACATGGTTTGCTGTAATTACAGGACAGTTCTGTTGGAGGCTCATGTCTGTAATCCTGGCTACTTGGGAGGCTGAGATCAGGAGGACTGCATTTAGAGGCAAGCAAATAGTTCACAAGATCCCATCTCCAAAATAATCAGAGCAAGGTGGACTGGATGGGTAGCTCAAGCAGTAGAGTGCCTACTTTGGAAGCACAAAGCCCTGACCTCAAAGACCAGTCACACACACACACACACACACACACACACACACACACACGCACACAAAGGATCATTCCAATTTATGTGGTTTCTTTTTGTTTTTTGTTTTGGCAGCACTGAGGTTTCAACTCAGGGCCTCATGCTTGCTAGGCAGTACTCTGATCTCTTGAACCACTCCATCAGCCTCCAATTTATGTATTTTATTAAGGTTTGAAAAGGCTTATATTAGTTATAATTTCTTTGTTGTCAGTTATATTAAAATTTCTTTGTAATCAAGAAAATAACTGATGGTAACTGTGACAGTCAAATATGAAAAAAATTTAAAATGACATAAATATTATATTTTAACAATCAGCATCCATAAAAAAGAGTATTTAAGCACTTGAGAAAAGTTCTGTTATCATCAAACATATTTTATTTTACAGCAGACCAAAATTTGTCTATAGAAAATTCCATACAGAGCAATGGCCTCCACCCACTAATTTTTCTATGTGAAATATTTTTGAATGCTTTTAGAGTACTGCTAATAAAAAGGGCAAAGGAGACATCTGGCCTCTTGCAAATGTGATCAGTATCCTTTTATAAAAGGTAATATTACCTGAAAATTGTGTTTATGAGTTATATGAGACTTCTAGCACAGCTTATTAGCTGTCGATAACACTGAACCATTGTTAGCAATTATCGTTGTATACACTGCACAAATATTTTAGAACTGTATTTAGCAGAGACCTCAATCAAGTGATTTTTTTTCTATTCCTGTACTTCACATTCAGGAGAAGAAGACAAATGTCAAAGGTTGAGGTGATATAAGTTCATTAAGTAATATTTATAATTCATAAATAATTTTATTGGATTGATCTACATTAAACACAACATAATACTACAATAATAGCAAATAAATAGCAATATATCAGAAAGTATTTTAACCACTGTCTGTATGTGTATACACATATGTACACACGTGCTGATGCATGCATGCACATGTACAAACGTGCACACAATGTCTCATATTTAATCCTTCCAATACTGTGGTCAGGTAGATACTGTCGTTATCCCTGTTTTATAGATGAAGACATTAAAAAGAACCATGTACCAATTTTCTGTCAAAGATGTGATAGGATACAAATAGTTTTAGTGCCTCTGTTAAATTGAGGCAGGTCTATTAGTCTGTTAATAAAATCCAGAATAGTGGGAACCATAGATAGAGAATGGCTAGAACTCTGCATTAGAACTTCTCAAAATTTTGCTAAACAAAAATGATCATTTTCCTTCTACATCATCCTGACTATGTACCTCAATTCTATGTACCATAGAACTGAGGCTAGAATGGGGGTTTCTATTTGTCACAACATTACATGAAGACTGCTTTACCGGAGGCCTTAGTATGTTACCTTCTGCCTATCTTGCTAAACAGGGGCCCCAGACACACCAGACTTCTTCATGTTACCTCCAAACTACACACAGTTCTTCAAAAATGAAGCTGAGCACAGTGACTCACACCTTTAATCCTAGTTACTTGGGAGATGGAGACTAGGAGGATGGCAGTTTATGGTTAGGCCAGGCAAAAAGTTAGTGAGAACCCCCATCTCAATGAATGAGCTGGGAGTGGTGGTGCGTGCTGGTCATCCTAGCTACATGGGAGTCATAAACAAAAGGACTACAGTCCATGCTGGCCCAGGAATAAATGTGAGACCCTACTCAAAAAATAATGGAAGCAAAAAGTGTTGGGGGTGGGGATGACTCAAGTGGTAGAGTGCCTGCCTAGCAAGTGCAAGGCTCTGAGTTCAAACTCCAATACCGCCAAAAAGTAAATATTTATCTTTGTCTAATGTGCCCTTAACTTTTAATACTAACAGGGGATGCTGGAAGTCATGAATAAGTGACTAAGCTTTGATATGGTCTATCTCACTACTGACAGTTTCTTAGCAGGATGATGCAGTACAAAGAAAGAAAACAAGATATGCATACATGTATTCAGGAACACTGACTATATTGATTTCTTAACTGGAGGACTTTTCAGAACTTTTAATATGCTAGTGTTTTATGAGTCTCCAGGAGGAATTTTTGTTTAAATAATAGATTTGAACATGATGCAAGGGCACAACTATACACAAAATAGTGTTCTATACACTTGTTTTCCAAGACATATTTATCTTTTGTCTTACAATTGTTGTAACCATACTTACTGCCAATATATCCAAAAGGAGAAAAATCCCTTCCTTTTCAAGAAAGTAATCCTCTGAGGGATAACAACCCAAAATGCAGCACCTTAAATTAAAGGAAAGTTATACATTTGACAAACATTTACTGTTAGATTAAATTTGTAGAGCTTTCTTTTTATCAAAGCATTCTCAAAGACTATTTTTTCTTTGCTCTAAATTAAGTAGCCAACGATTTGTATTAAAAAATAGAACTTTGAAGACATTTTACCCGAAGAGTTTACTTATATTTTCACTTCCAATTTTTATTACTGCACATTAATTGTACAACACGGAAGGTTTTCATTGTGATATTTCCACACATCCGTGTAGTTTAATTTCAACTATTTTTAACCAATACCAATTAATTCTGCCACACATTGCCTATTTCTTTTCTGCAAGTGCACATTCTCCTTTGCTTTCATGATATTAATTACTCTTAAAGAGCTCATGTACTTGCTCTAATAATTATTTCTTTAAGGTTTATTTGTTTATTGACTCTCTTTCATGGTGGGTATACCTAAAACATTTGACAATCCTTTTTTAGGACAATTGAAGTTTTATTGTGATATTGCCATACACGTATAATATATACTTTGATAAATTTATCCCCTTTCTTAACCTCCCTCTCTGGTCCCCTCACTTTTTAAGTTTTTAGTAGATTTCATTATCCCATTTTCATATGTATATATAATGTACCTTGATCATTATATATCACCCACTCCTTTTCCCTTTTCCCTTCCCACTGTCCCCCTCCCCAACAGTCCCCTTTTTACACTTAGGACATTTGACAATTGATTACATATCATTTTTGCAGTAAAAAATGCCTGCTGTTTAAGTCCATGTAGCTCACATCACAGTGAAAGGCTGAAGTGGCTGCTTAGGCTACTGTTACTCTCTTCCCCAGTAAGGAAAATGGGCTGAAAAAGCTATTGCTGGTGGTGATGAGGAATAATAGTGGTAGTGATGAAGAATAATATGCTTCTCCCAGGCATACTTTCCTAAGTCCCTATGCTACATATGGCTCCCTTTAGAAAGCAAGAGATCCTGGTTTCTACTGTTTGTTTCATGATGGTGTTTGTTGAGGGGCAGGTGTGGGGATGGTAGAGGCTGGTACCCAAAAGTTCAAAAGCTTGGATGTGCCAACTCAGATGGTTCTAGGTTTTACCGCCTCTGGGATGGCAAGACATACACTATTTAGTCTGTAAGGGTGTTCCTGGATGATATAAACTGCTGAATCAGTAGACTGAATATAGCAGATGGCTTTCCTAATGTGGGTGGACCTTACCCAATCAGACCTGAACAGAATAAAAATGCTGAGTGAATGGAAACTTTGCTGCCTGACTGCTGAACTAGGATGCAAGCCATCTGAGTCAAACTGAAAAACTGACTCTTCTTGGGTCTCAAGCCTACCAATTATCAGACTGGAACTTAGACCACTGGCTCTTCTGGTCCTCAGGCTTTTAGTCACAGAAAGGAACTACACCATCAGCTCTACTGGGTGCCCAGCTTGCTGACTTTTATTTAGATTGGGACTTTTCAGCCTTCATTTTTGCATGAGACAGTTACTTACAATAAATCTCACACTATATAATTCCGTTGACTGTTTTTCTGGAGGACTTTGACAATATCTAATTGCAATAGTCAGCAAAAGCTAAAACAGAGGAAAAAGTTAGAAATCTTACTCTACCACACATCCAGACTTATTAAAAATGTATTTATTAAAATAGCACAATATAACAAAGGATAGGCAAATCACCAGTGACATTTGTCACTGATCTTATCAGCAAATGAGTGGGGAGCCTAGAAACAGAGCAAAAATATACTGCTACTACTACTACTATATGAGTATTATTCTTGAATGCTTATGTCTTTCCTAGACAAGGCCAAAGTGGAATGGGTTTAAATCATAAAAACAAGGATTTAGGATTAGATATAAGGGTGATTTTCTATTTGGGTGATGAGACAAGATTACTTTCCAAAGGAAATTAGTGTCATTTTCAGATTATCTAAAAGAAAAATAAATAGAGCAAGTCATCTCTTTGGTAGAGTTTTGAGGGAAAAAAATTGGTGCACATCGCTGTAGAATGAATTTTCTTCTACTGTGATTCTAACTAACTTGGTTGCAATCATACTTACCAAATGCTGTCCAATGTACTAAAAAGAAGTACACTGTAGCCTAAGCCACTCTGAAACTTCTTGGGGTCTGCTTTCATTACATGAAGAATTATATCTACTCCTTCAGTTCCAAAAATTTCCTGTTTAAGAGATTTGTTTAAAATTATTTCTTCAAATAAATCCTTAATGTCTTCCTTTGTCACTTCGTATTGTCCCTTAAGAAGTATTTTTCTACCAGAAAAATATTGTTAGCAACATTTTAGGAAATAGCAATTATAATACAATTTAAGAAACTGTACTCACTTGTCAGTAATTTAAGACAAATTATTGTAAATCTAATCATTTTAAGAGAGGGAATTAATCAACATGCCAACTTAATCTCCCTTTATAATTTTGGTTTCCCTTTTTCTCTCTTTAAAAAAAACCCATAAAACTTACCCTCTGATTTTTTCCATGTTATCATGAATGTAGTATAGAATTATATCAGATGATAAATAGACAGCAATAATGATTATAGACTATTGTATAATGCTCCCAGGAGAGAACTAAGTATACACATGGTAGCTAAACCTTTAAAAACTTACATGACATGACTACCATTTAGTATTTTCCCCTGACCTTTGCCTTTCCCATTGTCTTGTTGCTCTGATTCTAATTCCCAGAAAGCAAGCTCATGATTATTTTTCCAGAAAAGTCCAGACACAGGATGGAAGAAGACGAGATGTTGTATCAAGGCTTAGAGCTAACCCTGCATTCATTATTCCTATTGCCTCTCCCTAAAGTCTATCTAAACCTGCATTATTTTTATTATTGTTGTGTTGGGGTACACTGTGAACTTTACAACTGTTCTTACAATATATCACAGTTGAATTCACCCCTCCACAGCCTTCATTATTCTTATTTTTATCTTTCCATTTCCATCTTTTCCTTTTCAAATTATCAATTTCTGAGACTCAAGTGTTTTCTATGAAACAATAACCACTCTGGAAAAATATCTGGAGACTTCTTAAAAATCTAAACGTAGACCTGCCATATGATCCAGCAATTCCTCTCCTGGGGATATACCCAAAGGAATGCAACACAGGTTACCCCAGAGGCACCTGCACACCCATGTTTATTGCAGCGCTATTTACAATAGCCAAGTTATGGAAACAACCAAGATGCCCCACTATTGATGAGTGGATCAAGAAAATGTAGTATTTATACACAATGGAATTTTACTCAGCCATGAAGAAGAATGAAATCTTATCATTTGCAGGTAAATGGATGGAACTAGAGAACATCATTCTGAGCGAGGTCAGCCAAGCTCAGAAGACCAAACTTCGTATGTTCTCCCTCATATGTGGACTTTAGATCTAGGGCAAATGCAGCAATGTGGTTGGACTGGGATCACATGATAAGGGGAGAGCACATTTTGGTGATATAGAAATAGGTAGAAAACCGAAAACATGAAAGCATTTGGTGTCCGCACTCCAGAGGAGCTAATACAGAAACCTTAAAACAACAGAGGTTATCATGAGAAGGGGATCAGTAACCAGTGTAAAGATCAGTTAGAAATGAATCAACATGGGTCATAACACGTGTACACAAAAGCAATGCTAGGAATATTTCTGTATAGCTATGCTTAACTCAACTAGCAAAAACACTTGTCTTCCTTATTATGCTTGTCTCTTTTCTTCAACAAAATTAGTGATAAAGGCAGAACAGGACTTGCCTGAAACTGAGGGAGGAAGGGGGAAGAGCGTGGGGGCAGGGGGCAGGGGGGAAAAATGACCCAAACAATGTATGCACATGTGAATAAATGAATTTTAAAAAGATACCAGATTAAAAAAAAGATCAAAGGGAATTAAACTCTTGTTCTAACTCTCCGTTTTAGGCATGAACTCAATTCAAACTCCAAATGACACTTTTAATAGTACAGTTCACTTTGGAAAAGTTTGGCAGTTTCTTATAATGATAAACACACACCTGTCTATCAATTTTGCTCCCAGGTATTTATTCAGGAGAAATTAAAGCATTCTGCCCACAAAAAGACTAATTAAAGAATGTTCATTGAAGCTTTACTCATAATTGCCCCAAATGGTAGCAACACAAGTGTCTATCAATACAGTAACACATTTTGGTATATTCATATCATAGAACATTACTGAGCAAACTACTGATATATGTAGCAATATGGAAATATTTCAGGAATATCTGTTATTTCTTTCGGGATGACAGAAAATAGACATAAAGGAATAAATGCTGTGCAATTGCACTCACATAAAGTTTAAGAATAGACAAAATTGATCTATAGGTAAGTGGGCGGAATGGCTCCTAATGGGATGGGAAAGATTTTTAGGAGGATGGAAATGTATAGGGAAATGTATATTATAAGATTGGAGTATTGGTTAAATGGGTGTATACATTTATCAAAATCTATTAAAATATGTTTAAGATCTGTGCATTTTACTGCATGTAATCTTACTCTAATTATAAAAAGAATATTAAACTTTCACAATATTTTAAAAAGAAAAACAGTATTTGTACACACTTAAAATAATTTATAATGTTAGGTGATCTGAACAAAATTTATTTGCAGGCATACATACCTTCCTTTGAATATGATGTTCACAAAGACCAGATAAGATAAGTAATATATCAGACTGTATTTCTAAAACAATGGCTTCTTCCTTTTCATTAGACTTGCTTATCATATTTTTAAAGATTCCTGGTATGAAAAAATTTAAAAACTGTAAAATTATTAGATATCATATTTTTAGTTTGATCAATTATTACTGGGAAATTCCTTCTAAAAAGTTTCTTCAGCTAGAGAAACTATTTTATTGAATAGCAACCTAGAAAGAGTGGGCAGAGAATGATAAATGAATTTCTTAAACTTTCAATAAAAATCAATCAGCAGCCTCACATACATAGAATTACTATATGCATACAAATATAGCCCACATATATAGAATGTCATAATATAATCTTTAGTCTCACATATGTAGAAATTCTAGTATGGAATTAATGGAATATCATTAAAAATGCCTTCACAACCTGGTATTTTGCTCAACAAACTGTTTATAAACATGTAATTTTGTGAGGCAATGATGAATACCTTTGCAAATGTATGACCATGTGATGTCTGATTGCAGTTTGCTTCATCTCTTCTTTTCCTTGTGGTTAACAGAGTCAATTACCAACACACATGGAAGACCTAAGAATATGTTCTATCTCTGTTATTTCCTTCTGCATCTTCTTCTCATTACTACCTGTGTCTTCAACAAACCTGAGTAGCAGAATCCCATATCCTTTAATATCCTTCCCTTGTAATCAAAATTGAAAAGGACTTAAAAACAGTCATTAATACTGATTAGTATTTATAATAACATTTTGCTTCAAAAAGGAACTTCCTTTAAGCTTAAATATTGAACAAAAGTCATCCATCCTCTATTAAAGGTGTCACTGTCATTAGCAGGAAGGTATGGATGGAGTTACTTATCTAAAGAAATAATAGCTTATCTCTGCAGTGGACCCTGTGGAACTATTCTTGTTCTGTCAGGATGGATTAAAATGTGTGATCAGACCCTAGTGGGGATAGATGAACCTGGTGAAGAGCCAGTGTGGGGTATGCTATGGACAGAGGGGCCTGTGTTCCTTTATCAGGAGCATCTTCAACAAATCCTGTGATTGCTGGCCATAGGTCTGTTTCTCTTTTTCTAGACTTAATTCTCCTTTCTTATCTGGGTGCAGTCTGGTAAATATCCCTGCAGTCTGTAACACAGAGTATTAATAGTGTTAGTACTGACTTACTTTCTTCATATTTAGGTACCATTTGGCTCTACTTACACTTATCTTTGAACACATCATTATGCATATTTTAGCAATATGTCTCTGCTCATGTTATCTCTTTGCTTAAACAACTAATCTTTCTGTCTTGAAACTGCCCTTATCCTCACAGACTCCTGCTAAGACTTTCCAAGATACAAAACTACTCAAATCTCTTAGCTTCCGTGACATTTACGCTCCAGACTACTCATCAGGTGCCTAACTGATGGTACAGGGTAATATATGCTATTTTTCTGTTATTTTCTTTTATTCTCACGAGGGGCTATGTCCTCATTGTCTTGATCCATACATGTTTACAGTTCTAGTGTCTACACAGAAGATGTATTTTCATAGACATTGCATTTACAATGCAGTTACTGTATTTTTCAGCATGTTACTACTCCAAAGATTTTTAGATTAAAAGTGACAAGGTCCTTGCCTCCAAGAACTCATAGGAGAAATATTAGCTTCTTTCTTGTTGAAGGGAAAACACTCTAAGAATGAAAAACCCTTGCTATTTGCTTTGTCATTTCCCTAATCTAGTCCCTCAGTCCAGATAGAATCAAGACTTCTTCTTGGATATGTGGAATATTGTATTTCCAGTGAGGCTGGGGCTTAAAACTGAATTTTGTACAACAGAAATGTACATAGGTGTGATTAAAATGTTTTTTTGAGGCTTGTTATTCTAAGCAAACTTGGCAAGGAGGTTTTTTTTTTTTTTTTGGCCTGGCTCCCTTTTCAATGTACTTTTTTTTCTCTTATGAACATTATATTTGGAGGACATCATTCCTTTACCACTAATGATGGATGAGAAGGTACTTTAATAGGTAGATGAGTTTCTGAGTAGGCATTTGCAATTAATTGACATCTAGCAGTGTTTTGGATTGGATCTTGAATGTCCCCCAAAGGCACAGGTATTGTAGGCTTGATTCCCAGTCTGTTGTTTCTATTGGGTGTTGGTGGACTCTTTAGGAGGTGGGATCTAGCAGAAGGTAGGGATATTGGAACCCTGGCCCTTTCCTATTTCTCTTCTGTTTTCAGGCCACTATGAGCTGAGATGCTTCCACCACCAAGTTTCCAATTCATGATGTATGGCTTTATCACAGGTCTAAAAGCAATTGGCCAACTAATCATGGACTGAAAGATCTGAAACCTTGAGCCAGGCAATACCTTTACTCTATATAAGTTGATATATCTCAGGTATTCACAGTAATGGAGAGCTAATACAGCACATGACAGATGTTCCTTGGCATGTTTGTGTGACTGGTTCCAGACTTCCCTTTACATACCAAGATCCAGGGATTCCCAGGTCCCTGTATAAAATGGTATAGTATTTGCATATAATCTATGCATACCTGTACACTTTAAATCACCTTTACATTATTGTAATACCTAATACAATGCAGATGCAAAACAAATAGTTGTTATATATATTTTTAAGGGAACAGTGACAAGAAAAAAAGTCTATATATGCACAGTACAGACAAATATTTCTTTTTCAAATATTTTTGGTCTGTGGTTGGTTGAATCTATGGATGCAGAAACCAAGAACATGGAGGGTTGACTGTGTATCATTTACATGGAAGCAATCACTGAGTATGAATGACTGAAGTAGCCTTCTTCAAATCAGGAAAGATAAGGTGTGGAGGGCTATTTATTTTTAAATAACAAAAGGTAAAGCAGATTTAATTGTTAAATTGAAAACCAATGATATTCTTATATCCAATTTCAGAAAAGAAACGCCTGTATACATTTCTGTATGTATCAATATACCAGTGTTTTGATATGATGAATAGATTGGAAAATGTAATGTTATTCTCTTTAAAAATGGTTTCAAAAGGATTGGCCAAAAATGGTCATTTTATTGCTATAAGAATGAAACATAACAATAGTTCATTAATGAAGTGGTCTCTGAATTAAGGAAACAAATATTAAAAGAATTAGTGATCCTTTCAATAAGAAGAAAAACTGATTATAGCAACAATATGAAACAAAAATCAAGAAAATATTCAGGAGATTCTCAGTCTTAAAGACAAAATAAATTTGCAGAAAAATTCAAACAAAACTTCTAGTACTATAAATAGTCTACTTTCATTAGTAAACTGCCATGCTGAATTTTACCTATCAGTTGTTGAATTGTTCCCTTCTCACAAAGATCTGTGTTTACAGTCTCATCTTCAAGATAGACCATGGCTCTCAGTAGTCTTAAACTGTAACGCATCTGGGCAAACTTGTTACCACGGCCACCAGTACCATGAAAACTGTTACCATGACTAAAGAAGGGATCTGTGGAGAAAAAATTTAATATATATAAAGAAATAGAAACATACAATATTTCAATTGATTGAAGCAATATATCAGATGTTATATGTCTACCTATAAATTTAAACATGTTAAAATTGTATCCTTTGTTTTATTAGAGAAATAAATGTTACTGCTTCTCCCTCCTCTTCCTGTTCTAAGAATGGAAATATGTACTTTAAAATTTTACTCAAATGTATCATACTGTTTGTATTTTCTGCAACTTTCTTCTGTTAGCAAATATATTTTAAAATTATTCACATTTTAAGTAGATCTAGATCACCCATTTTAATTGCTTTCAGCATTCATTTTATAGATAAGTTCACTTATGAGCACAGTCTGCCACCATGAATATGTCTTCTGGTTCATGTCTTCTTCCCACTAAGCATTTCTCCTGTTGATTCCAGAATCATACAAGGTATACTCAATGTATTTTATCAAAGCTGCCAAACAGACACAATATATAAGACCAGCTGATTTTCCAAGTCTGTTAAACATGAAGTGGTAGCTCATTTTTATCATAATTTGTACTTCTCTGATTACCAATCAGCTGAGTGGTTTTAAATGGTTTTTGAAAATTTGAAAGTTTTTTCTGTGACATCACATTTCCTATCTTTTTATATGCTTCTCTACTGAATTTTCTTCCTGTCAATATGTAGGAGTTCTTAGGTGGTGAATTTAACTAAGATATATTGTAAACACTTCCCCTTCCCTTCCTTTTCCCTTAGTAGTCTCCTTTAAATATGGATGTTTTCTTTTTAAGGTATATCAATTAGAGTTATGACATTTACTATTTTTAACTTTGAAATCTGTTTTAAAAATTTTTATCATCATAAATTAATTGTATAAGGGATTTCATTGTGATATTTACAAGATGCATATAATGTACTTTGATCAAATTCACCCCACCTATATTACACTTTCTTAACCCATGCTCCCTTTTTGATGGATTTCATTGTACCATTCTCACATATATCTATACAGATCTATATATCATGTACTTCTATAACCTTCACCCTTTCCCCCACCCTCGGTGTTTTTTTCTTAAGACATGTAAATACATTATAGGGAAGACAGGTCTGCACGTTTTACTTCTCGTGTCTTTAATTAGCCTCACTGCTCTCTCTGCGCATACTTCATTAAGCCACAGTCTATGGCTCACCTTCGCTCTCACACCACTCCAGGAATGCCAGGACACGTGCGTTGCCCTGGCACGACATGTACTCCTCTATCAGCAGAGGGGCCACAGAGGACAGAGTGGCAATGGCATGCAGCTGCAGCTCCTCGTGCTGGGCAACAGACCATTCAATTATCTTGTGCTTCTCAGGCCTCTTCACATAGGTAAACAAAGCCAAAACCACCTTGCCATCAATTAACAGCTAGGACAAAGAGCAAGAGAAATGTCATTAGAAGCATATTTAAAATAACTATTTAATCTAAGGAAATCAAATATTTCAAATATTTATTTATTCATTTGTTGCAGTACTGGGGACTGAACTCAGGACCTTATACTTGCTAAGTAAGCACTCTACTTAGTAACACTCTAGTCAATGCTAAGCACCTCAAAAAAAGGAAATAAGGCTGGATGGGCCTGTATACTTCTTTCATTTTATGCCCTTTATTCAGGAGATTTCATATATCAATCACTCTCTTAGCTTCTACTGATCTCTGGTTTGTGTGGTTTAAATTTAGGAACTTCACTGTGTATTAACAGATAAGCGAAAGAAAAAAGTTTAAAAGCTGAAATAGAGGCTGGTAACTTTGTTACTTTTTATGGTAAAGATATAGGTTGCTGAAAGATTTAAGTCATGACTTTAAGAACATTATAACGTAAGATGGTTTTTATTCATTTTCTTGTTTTGATTACTTTACCTGTACAGTAGGTAAATCTTTGCATAAGATCACAATTATATTGAATAGCAATTTCTTCAACTCAAAATCTTCATAGGAATTAGAAAGCTTAAGACCTTTTACCAAAGGATTTTGACTTTTAACTGTGAGGAGGAAAAAAGAGTAAAATGACAGCTAAAGCAATAAATAAGATTCATCAAGACAATACAAGAAGTTTAAAGTTTTAGTTTTTACCTTCATTAAAGGTTGCAAATAGTATCAAATCCCTGGTAAAGCCACACTCCTATCACAAATGCACAAAACAAGCAGAAAGAAGAATTAGAAAGGAAGTTAAGCTACAGACATCCATATTTACCTCCAATTTAACTGCCTTTGTCAAATTCCCTTACTGTAATTAATTTGAATTATAAATACTAATAATGGTAAGGAATGAAAGCAATAAAATAAAAGCATATAGCTAGACAGACTTTTAATTTACTTAATTTTAAACTTGCTTCTTCTAAGAAGTATTCTATATTATTCTATGAATGTTTTAGAAGACACATTTTAAAATTTATTTAGAACCCAAAATATATTAAGCCTACATAGTTACTTCTGTGATTCATTATCTGTATCTTTAAATAACATAATAAGGGAAGAAAATTCAGTTATTTTCATAGTTTTTCTTCTCAATCTCACCCATACTCCAAACACTCTCATCATATCAACTATTTGGTCAAGAGATAACAAAGTGGTTTTACTTAACATGAAAAGTCCTGAGGCATGATCAGTGAAAGTTTATAGAACATTAGCAAAAGTTTATAGGGATTTTTGAGTGTATGCCTTTATATTCTTACTACTTTAGGATCTGTATATGGTTCGTTTAAAACGTAAGAGTGCTATCCCTTTGATTTATGTTCATGTAATCACTTGCATGTTTATAGTGACAGTAACAAGGACTTTCTCACTTAGGAGGGCCTTCAAGAAAAATCAAAGGTCTACCTATACATAGCAACCTAACTGGTATGCTACATGGGGCTATTTCCCCATTTGCACAGTATGAACTCCATGACTCTTCTCTTATGCTGGAACCACTTGATGTACACTGATAGGGGTCTTCACAACTAGTTATTTCAAGTACAATTTAGAAAGTAACATAGCTGATGTGTGAATATTGTTGCCAAAGATCTCTATTCTAGGATTTTAGTCATTCAGTGATTTTTACATTATAAAATATAAGAAGGTTCAGCTTTTGATATAGCTAAATAGTTCCTGTATAACAAAAATCTTCCTGTAGCAAACAATTATGAGCTTTGAACAAAATATAAAAGCAACTACCTCAAGGCCAAGAGCAAACAGACACTGGAAGGAAGTAAGGACTCTGAAGAAGGACTGAAGAAGAATTCATTGTTTGAATTCTAACTGATTCTCCTTTTTAAAACAGCTTTTAGTTTGACAGCAAGCCCTATTCTTCACCTTGCAGGGATACTAAAACTCAGAGTAAACTATGGTTTTATAGGCCTGAAAAGTCAGAGGACAGAGCCAATTATAGCCACAGGGGAGTGAAGAGTAAAATCCCATAAAGGAGAGAGTCAGAATGGGGAACTTCAAATTCTGAACGTAAGCTCTTCTCAAATCTCTGACTGATGCCTGAACCACACAAGCACAGAGAATTCTCAAGCATCCCAAGTTTGGCTAGAAGAACTGAACTGGATTAGAACTGCCATCCACCACAGGAATGATCTAGACAAGTTAAATACCTATTAGTAATAAAAAGAAAAATACTCATCAGAGAAGTATATCAGAAGCAATAAAAGACATTCATAATGAATAGAAATACAGGAACTATGCAGAGAAACAGAAACAATGAAAAGGAAACATGAGATTAGGGATATAATGTACTGCAGTGGTAGGATCCTTGTCTAGCATGAACAAGAGCCCGAGTTAGATCTCCAGCACTGCCAAAAACAAAAAAACCCCAAAAAACCCACAAGGAAATTCTAATATCTGAAATAAAAATAATAATATAGCAGCACAATGGAGATGATGACAGAAAAAAAAAAAAGAAAAAAGGACCTAGTGAATTTAAATACGTAGATCAAAACCATGATCTAATCTGATGAACAGAGAGAAAAATAATTAGAAACAATGAACAGAGCCTTAAAAACTTGTAGGACAGTATCAAAAGGTCAAACATACAAGTAATTAGAGTCCCAGAAAAAGAAGAGAGAGCAAATGGGGCTAAAAAATACTTGAAATAATGGCCCCTCAACATCTCCAAAATTGGTTAAAAACTTAAATTTACACATCCAGGGAGCTCCATAAACTCCAAGAATAAATATGAAGATCACACCTTGGCACATCATCATAAAATTGCTGAAAATCAAAAATAGAGTAAAAAACTTGAAAACAGCCAAAATTAAAAATAACACATTATAGACAGGGAAACAATAATTTGAAATAACAAATACTTCTCATCAGAAAAAACGGGGGTCAGAAGACAATATGACACTAACTCTAAAGTGCTAAAAGAAAAATATTTTCAATCTAGAATTCTCTATTCAGTGAATATACACTTAGAAATTAAGATGAGTTTAAGATATTTTCGTGTTTTAAAAAAAAAAACCTAAGAGACACCATTGTCACCAGCCAACATATTTGTACCACAAATAGTGTAAGAAAAATTCTTCTAGGGAAAGAGAAATGATACCAGATGGAAACTCAATCGTTAGGACAGGAAGGAAAGAAAAGCATCATAAATGATAAATCTGTATGCAAATGACAAAATATGAGGAGGACATCAAATTTCCAAAGGAGTGACAGAGTGAAAGTAAAATTGTGAGCATCATGATGTTGCGAGAAGCACATAAATATCACAACATAATTGAGGACATGCTCCCCCATGCCCACTTCCACAATTAAAATTAATGCAACTTAATTTATACTTACAATCATTGGTGCTCCAGGGTTTTGAGCTATAATCGTAGTGATCACTAATATATCATTTCTAAGCTGACGATCATAATGACTAAAACCTCTCATAAACAGATTTTTAAATACTTTCTTCAAAGCCCTAGAAAATAAAACCATATTTTAAAAATAATACTGTTATGGACTAAATTTTGGTGCTTCTCCAAAGTTTAAATTTTGAAATCCTAATCCCCAGCATGATGGTATAAAGAGGTGGAGTATTTGGGAAATACTGAGGGCAGAGTCCTCATAATAGGATTAGTACTTATACAAGGGACTCCAGAGAGCTCTTTGCTCTTTTTCTTCCATTTGAGATGAGAAGTCATCTCAAATGTACATTATCTGACTCATTTCAAATCTTTTCCACTACTATGTACCAGATAAGAATTCATTAATCCCATCTATACAGGGTTGTTGAAGTTATGCTCTGACAAATTTAATCACATTGTGTTAAACCACTAAAAGGCTTTTCCAGACCTTTTACAGCTTCTCTTTATTTTTAGGTTGCAGTCCCACCTCCTTAACCAGGCTTATCGGGGCTTTTACATTATGGTCTCTGCTAACATTGTTTACCCTCATCTCTTACCATAACCTATTCTTTCTGCTTTCACCATGCTGAACTTCCTTCAGGTTTTTCATTTTTGCTCATTTATGTTTTCTTTTCTATTCCCCTGTCGAGGATGCTCTCTGTATGCAAAACTTTTCTGTGTTGCCAATTCCTAATTATCATTCAGATTCTAATTATCATCAGATACCAGATCAGGGTTCATTAGGAAACTCGCATAACTCTTCAAGTCTGGGTCAGATTCCCTCTGTAGTAGACGTTTGTTCTTTTGTCTCTTGGGGACCCACTTGTACTTTCTATAATGGTATCATTATTTTTATTTAAGCATTCACTCATCCCCAATTTCTGGCCCTGTGAAGATGCCTTCTGCTGTGTTTTAGCTGTCAGAGCAGTCCTCTCTGGTATTGGAATGGGAACTGGACAGCATCAGACCAGTTTAAAAGGACTGACAGGGACTCAGTTTAGAGACTTCTTGTTGTTTGTTAGCTTTTAGGTAGCAAGCCCTCTCTTTCCTTTGATTTGAGGATGAGATGATGTGAGCATTGACTTTTTAGGTCTTACCATGTGGAGCTTAGGAATGAAGCCAATATAGTGGAAGATAGTACAGAGAGATTAAGAAGACCAAGTTCTGATCCTTGAATAAAGCTCCACATGAAGCAGTTTAAGCTTTGATTTCATAGTTACAAGAATTCATAAATATCCTATATTGCTTAAGTTGGTTGGGTTGGGGTTTTTGTCACTTGCAAACAAGAAGATGCTGATTCACCTTCTGAAGAAGATGTAGCACCTTGCAATAATCTTTATAATGCTTATTATACTTTTTAAAGTTGGACAATTTTACTTGTCCTTTTCTAGCATAATCTAAATTCCTGGAAAGTAGAGACTATGTCTGTGCTGTTTCTAGCTGTACTTTCATGATCTAGCATTGACCCTGGCACAGAGCAGACAATAATCATCTGTTGAATAAGTGAGTAATCAACTTGAAGGCTTACTTAGATTTTATTGCAGTATCTGGAAGATGGTAAGCACACACTCAGAGATTTACTGAATAAATGAAGTGGTTTTAAGTGTCTAATTTTACTTTATAAACCAGCACATTTTAGCTTTAGCAAGTTATTTTAAGAGCCTTCAACACAGAAAAGGATGGCTTCAGGCTGGACTCAGTAGTAGAGCATTTACCAAGCATGTGTGAGACCCTGGATTCTACCTCCAGTACCAATGGTAGGAAGAAAGGAAGGAAGGAAGGAAGGAAGAAAGGGAGGGAGGGAGGGAGGGAGGGAGGAAGGAAGGAAGGAAACTGGCTTCCTGTTGTGAAGATTCATTAATACAATGGCACAAAAATATTCTGAAACACAGCCACTTACATGAGTCAAAAACCTAATTGAATACAGATTTCAACAAATATGTGAGTTATATCATTGGCTATGATTTTAAGTTAAAAGACATTCCTATCTAGCCACATACACTTACAGCAAACATTCCAAGTTACTAAGCTGTTGTATGATTTCCTCTTTTGAAGACTTTTCCAATAAATTCCAAAGTATTTCTGATGAACGAAACAGAAGCTGTCCGGAGGGATCTGTGTCATTGAGGTGAGCACAGATCTTGCTGGCTGCTTGTGCCTTTACCATTAAAGTACAATTGGCTTCTGAAAATAAATTTTAAAAATGACTTGTTGTACAGTGTTAACATTGTTAGGTAGAAAAGATAGTAGACAATGAAATGTTTAAGACTACTATACAAACCAGAAGTTGAGAGATGCTGAAGAACTTTAAGTACCCAAAGTTTCTCAACGAGCTGGTTTTCAAGCAAGATCATTGACTGGACCATTGTTTTTGCCAATCCTCCAACCTCAGCCATTTTAATCTTGTATGATGAACTAGCTTGCTGGTATCCTAACACAATTAGTTAGTAAATAAGTACAGTTATTTCACAGAATGATCATTAAGGTAAAACAATGAATAATTTACCACCCAACAACAGAAACAAAAAAACTTTTAAATTAGGGCTGGTGGAGTGGCTCAAGTGATAGAGTGCCTGCCTAGCAAGTGACAGGCCCTGAGTTCAAGCCCCAGTACTGCAAAAAAAAAAAAAAAAAAAAAAAAGAAGAAGAAGAAATAGTACATGGAATTTTTAATTGTTTTTTATTAGGATATATTCTTTATATGGGGGATATGTGACAATTCTGATTAGACTTATATTGTACATTATTTACAGTGCCCCCATCGTCTCTCCCATCAGCCCCCTCCCCACCCCACTTAAACCAATTGTAAGGGGTTTTTTAGTTCTGTTTCATATAGGTATATGAAGTCCATCAACTATATACCGTAACCTTAATCTCCTTCCTTCACCCTCCCCCTCCTGGTAGTTCCTACCCACTCCCCAGGCACACACTGTGCCAGTTTTACAGTCCTAGTTTTCATTATTAATATTAAGTTGATGTTCAAAGGGGTATCTCAATGTATGCCCACTGTGAGTATGCTTTACTTTGGTCTGTTCAATCCCTTCGAATACTCTCTTTTACCTTCCACCCCCGTTTTTCAACAGCTTTCAATATACATATTTATATCCTCTACCTTCACATCTTATGGTATGCAATATTACAGATGCTCTATCATTCTCTTTTCCTTTCCCTCTTTCCCCAAGTTCCATATAGTTCCACTGTTAGAAACATGTTCTACATCTGAGTTTGTATATGATCATGCTTGTTTTTGTGTATATGTTTATCTTTGGATCTATCTTCCATGTATGACAGAAAACATGTGTTTTGTTTTCTGATGCTGGCTAACTTCACTTAGCATGATGTCTTCCAATTGCATACATTTACCTTCAAACTCCATGTCATTATTCCTTGTGGCTGAGTAATACACCATTGTGCATATGTATCACAACTTGATATATGGAATTAAAAAACTGCATAGTTTGAGGACACAAAAATTTTCTGTAAAGGGCTGTAAGCTTTACAAGCTAGGTTTCTGTGTCAACTATTTAACTTTACCATGTTGTAGCATGATAGTGAAGCAAGAAGAAAGTAATATACAATACCAAAATAAATGGATATGACTGTGGTCCAGTAACATTTAATATGCAGTATGCCAGTTTTGACCTGGGGTCCATAGTCTGTTGATCTCTGGCGTTGCATATAAAACAAGACTACAAATTTTGGAAGCACATCTTAAATTCTCAATAAAACCTCCCCAAACCCTAACATTTTTTGTCAATAGATAGGACTTTCTGTAAAGGAAAATGGCATGATTATATATACTGAATGTTTTCATTCTTCAAAACAACGCATTACTTCAGTGCTTTTAAAGGATAATAACAACATAGTGGTGGCAATAAAATAAGAAGAAAAATGTAATGCTGCCCTGATAAATGCTTGTGATGGTAGTTATATTATAGAGAAGCTTGATGTTTGGTGATATGTCTTATAAAAATTTCTTTCTGCCTTAAGTCCTGTGAGAAACACTACTTCTCCTTTTGCTATAGTTGTACAGGTACCTGCCTAACTACATTTAATCATAGGAATTAAATATACACCAGAGGTACTTTCTCAACTGAGACGAGGCTATTTTTTCTCCTACTGGTTTCACTTACCTAACTCCCTGACATCTTGACTTTTGAAGCCAACTGGATTCCTTAACTAGACATAGTTCTGAGATGTCTGTCAATTTGTCTTAACTTCCTGAATTTGATGTTTGTCCATGGACAAGGCCCTGTTTATTTGAGTTCTCCATGGTATCCCCTAATTATTCACTGCATGAATTTAAAAAGACATGTAAAAGATATAAAGAGGCCGGGTGCTGGTGACTCACACCTGTAATCCTCTTAGGAGGCAGAGATCAACAGGATCGGAGTTAGAAGCCAGCCTGGGCAAATAGTTTGCAAGACCCTATCTCAAAAAACCCTATCACAAAAAATTGGGCTGGTGGAGTAGTTCAAGGTGAAGGGCCTGAGTTCAAGTCCTAGTACCACACACACACACACACACACACACACACAAAACAAAGAGGTAGGCTGCATGCCCATGGCTCACACCTGCAATCCTAGCTAGTTGGGAGGCAGAGATCAGGAGGATCTTGATTTGAGGCCAGCCTGGGCAAACAGTTCATGAGACCCTATCTCAAAAATATCCAACACAAAACAGGGCTGGTGGAGAGGCCCTGAATTCAAACCTCAGTACTGGCAAAAAAAAAAAAAAATTCAGAGATAAATGAAAATTGTTTATTATTTTATCATTTAAAGATACCAATGTTAACATTTTGATATATTTCTTGATGATATTTCTAATGTATGCATATAATTTTAACAACATACTGTATGCAGAATTTTATATTTACTGAAACCCAATTTTTATTGTAAGGTTTTTTCCTAGGCTATAAAATATTTTCCAACATCATGATTTTATTTGCATAAGTCAGTCATATGGACAAGTCAAAATGTACTTTATACTTTCTGTGTATTTTTTCTCTTAAGTTCACATTTCTATAGGAGCTTATAGTAATTTTAAGACTCATAGACTTAATTCCTATTTCCAAAGTTATGTCTTTTCCAAATTCTCTGTGGGGACTTTGCAGCTCTGGTTCCATATGTTCAGCCATACCCATCACTTGAAACCAACTGTGAGACAGTTAGTGGCAGTGCTGTCTATGACTCCCAATTTTCAGAGCTTGATCAAATTAAGGTTAAACTCACTTCTCTGCACATCAACACTCTTCTATCTTAACTCCTGCATCATTGTCTTCTATATTTTGCCAAGGTTAATTCTAAGCTTGTGATTTTAATTCCATCTTCTCATGCTTATTTTGAGAATTTTGCCTTTCCATTTCCCACTTAATAGCTTCTAGCTCTTCTATAAACTTCATTTCCCCATCCTAAAAACAATAAAACCAAAAAACTTTCCTTGACTTTCTGTAAAGGAAAATGGCATGATTACACCACTTGAACTGTTCTCTATCTTCCCTCCTTTTCTTCATTATTTGGACTTAAACTACAAGTCTGTAGACCTGTTTCCCATTAACTACAATTTTCCAAATGTCAAATTAATTTGGATCTCTAACCTCCATTATAGAGCTTCTGTAGGATTTGACACAGAAACCACCTTTCTTCATCAAACATTTCATTCATTGGCACACAGAACACGGTAGTCTTTAAGTTTTCTTCCTCCTTTTTTGCCACTGGCAAATATTTATATATATACACATATATATTTGAACATTTTCTTCAGAATGGGTATTTTGTGGAAGATTCTACACAAATTGCTTTGCATTAAAATTTTCCTATTACTTAACACTCACAGACTTCCATTACATCAGGAATTTTCATGGGATATTAGTTGTAACTACTTGTTACAATAATTTTTTCTTATATTTTGAGGTAGAGTGTTTTTTTTTTTTTTTTTTTTTTTTTTTTTTTTTTTTTTTTTTTTGCAATACTGGTGTTTGAAATCAGGGTGTTGTGCTTGCTAGGCAGGTGCTCTACCACTTGAGTCATTCCACCAGCCCTAGAGTGCATTCTGCATGTGGCCCAACTGAAGACTTTTGTGTACCTCTTCTATTAAAGGTTTTCTTGTATTTCTTTTTCCAAGAGTTGGGAACCATGATGACTAGAGGTATTCCCCAGACACTTTACACTAATATGAGCTCTCTGCACTTCACATTCTTGTGAGTGCTAGAAAAGCCAATTGATAACAAACCTTTTCCACTTTCTTTATTCAAGGCCTCTCCATTATGAGTTCTTTTGTGTCTTCTAAAAGAACAAAGAACACTGAAAGCTCTCCCACATTGCCTGAAGACTAAGTATTTCCGTCCAGTGTGAGTTCTTTCATGTATCTGAAAGTGACTGGGTATCAATGATAGTTTTACCGCATTGATTTTAGTGTGTGTTCTCTCATGTATTTGAAGGGAACTGGAATGACTGAAGGCCACATTCTTTACATAAGTAACATTTCTCTCAAGTGTGATTTCATGCATGTCTTCAAAAAGAATGAGATAAACTGAATGTTTCCCACGTTGCCTACACTCATAGAGTTTCTCCCCAGAGTGATTTCTTTCCTGTATCAGAAATGAACTGGAATAGTCAAAGGCTTTACCACATACCTTATGCTTATAGGGCCCCTCTCCATTGTGTGTTATCACATATCTTTGAATGCCAGGTAGAGTCATGAAGGATTTCTCTTTACTTAACTCTCCATGATGTGTCCATCCATGCTTCTGAAAGCATGGGGGATAGTGAAGGCTTTTCCATGTTCCTTACATTTGTATAGTTCCTCTCCTTATTCATGATTCTCACCTGGTCTGTGATCAGTCTGAACTCATAGAAGCAGGCAAATTTGGGGATGAATGACAATGGCCACTTCTCCACACACATGGTTTTAATCTAGGAGGTATTTTCTTGCTCAGAATATGACCTGGAGTCTGGCTGAACATTTCCCAACGTTGACTACCTTTTTTTTTTAATGTTTAGAGTTTCTCTACCACTTACTGCTTAGATTTCTATTAGTATTTATTATAATTATCTTCAGTGTTCTGGTCTCCTCAGTTTTATCCATTTCCAGCTTTCA